AGGCAGGAAGAGAAGCCACATGCACCACTGTGTACAAAAGGATTATTCATAAGCACTGTGATTTTTCAAGGATTAAAATAGTCTACATCTAGAAGCAAACAGTGGGAAGTAGAAATATCCTTGTGGTGGGATGTTTGCTCTGCAGTTCTTGCCTGCACCAAGTTCAAACCCAGTCAGTTGCCATGAAACCATACTAGTTGCCTTAAACCACTAGTTTATGGTGCTGCTCTCCAGTTGCATCACAGGGACACTCAGCTAGGCCAAGCAGCAGCTCCTTAAAAGGATGTTTTAAGGACTACAGAGCTCCCCTTTCCTCACTTCTAAGGAAAAATGGTGCTAGGAAAGGGACTGAGTCCCACAGGACTGTGCTCTGCCACCTTTGGCTCTCACCTTATTCCTCACCAGTTATCCCAGCATCAGGAAAACTCCTCCCTCAAAAGTTTACCTGAGAAAGACCAACATTTCATTCTTGCCAAGGAAATCCCACCAGGCCCCACTGTCCCCTCTTTCCTTTTGCCCCCTCAGTGAGACTTTTCAGCAGACCTAATAACTTCAGAGAAACTAAAAGTTATCCAAGTGTTTCCTGGCACTTCAGCTCTTCCCCCAAAGCTGGGAGAAGCCAGGAAACCAGAGACCTTTGCAAAAAAATAAGAAGCAAGAACTGGGCAATGGCTCTGCCAGACAAGTTCCCTGCTGGTATGATATGGGATGTCTCCTGATGTGCTGCTCAAACCTTCTCCTGCCCTGGAATATCTTGAGGAAGATGTGAAGCTGCTGGATCCTGCACCACAGCAGCACTGGAGAATGTCATCTTCACCAGGCTTTGGAATCTTTGTGCCATAGAGGAGCTGGGAGGGCAAAATGTGTAGCCCCACATTGCTGGGGAGAAGAGAATGATGCCCCCCCAGCTCAGCAGACCCCCCTGGTGAGCACTGCAGTGGTGGGTCTGCTGGTTCCTGCACATTTCTTTGTGGGTGACACTGGTTTCAGGTGCTTTGCTGGGGAATTGGGTCCTGTGCCAGGGTCCTGCAAGCAGGGGACACTGAAGAGCCTCTGCTTGGCTGGGGGAGCAAGGAAGAGTCTGAGATGCTGGAGGCATGTGGGAGATAAATCTCTCCACTTGGAGAGGTAAACAGAGAGATAAATCCCTCCATTTGGAGCCAGAAACCAAGGCTGAAGAGCTCAAAACTTGGGCTGTTTATGATCTGCTTCAACAAACCACCCGAGGACGCCCACACCAGAGAGACTGTGTCTGCAGAGAGACAATTCATACCTCCCAGCATCAACATCTGCTCCTGGGATGGAACTTGCTGGTTGTGTTCACACACAGGGGAGGCTCCAGCATCATGGACATGGAGGAGGATGGAGGTGAGGAGTCACACAGGCTGGGGCACTGCAGAAGCCATCACGGACACGAGGCCTGGGGGATTCTGCTCCATCTCCACGTTCCCTTTTTGCTGGAAAAATTACCCTCCCACACCATCACTTTGCTCCTCAGGGAGACAGGCAGGCTCCAGACTGCCTCAGGCTAAACAAACCCAGGCAGGAACAGTGAAAATAAAGCCAAAGTGGCCCAAGTAGAAGAGAAGGGGCACACAGGGTGAAGAGTCTAGATCCCAGGCAAACTGCCAACCCTGCAGGTGTCCACGAGGTGCCAGCATTGATGGTAAAGCACCAGAAGAAATAAAGATTACCAAAAACAGAGGAGCTGCTGGTCCTGCTTCCCTTGGCAGCTTCACTACCAGCAAGAGAAGGAAATGAACCACAACACTTCTCTTTGATGTCAGAACCAGAAAGTCCCTACTGGAAGAGCTTACGTTGGGGAACCATGGCCTGGCCTCCACCTCTTCCAAGGGGTCAGCCAAGAAACAACCCCCCCATCTGCAGCAGTGCCTGGGAAGAGGTCAGGCCACAGAGGTTTGGCTGGCAAACAGTGATGGAGGCTGGGCAGGATGTAGGCAAGCCAAGGCCCAGTAAGAATGGCTGCACCTCTACTCTAAACTGGGAAGCAGTGAGTGAAGCTGGTACAGGAGGAAGGGGGAGAAGGTGTCAGGGCAGTGGCATCAAGAACAGACCCCAGGGAACAGGTAGGCAGGAGATAAAGAGCATCCCAGTTTGCTCCCAACAAGCTGCACTGTTGTGCTCAGCCACTGCCAAGTCAGTGCCTCGACTCAGCTGCTTTCTCAGCCAGCAACAATAGCAGCATCTCCCAGCAACATGACCCTTTTGTGCAGTGCCCCTTAGGATACAGACTCCTCCAAGGACTGTACAAGGCAGGACAACTGGCCCAGAGAAGATGCCTCAGGCTACATCCCCAGAAGCCACATTTAAGCTGCTAACCCCAGGCAACGTGCTGCTCCAAAGGACTCTGTGCCTCCTCCCAGGCAGTTTCTCCCCCTTGGCAGGGGCTGCACTGGCCAGGTTTTCCCTGCAGACAGAGGTGGCTGCCAGCAAGGCTCTCACCCCCCAGCAGGGAGCCAGGAGGTTCTCAGAGCAGGCAGGAAAGCAACGCTCACCCTGCAGGGTCCCTTCTGAAGCTCTCCACGCTTTCCCTCTCCTGAAGATCTCCTGCAGCAAAGTTTCCCTTCCTCCTCCTCCATCAGCAGCCCTGCAGGCGCCAGGCAGAGTCTCTCTTCCCATCCCTGCAGCTCTAAATCTGCCTGGTTGCTGAGCACATCTATTCTAGGCAGGCGAGGGAAGTGAAGCGCACGCAGCAGCAGCGTCGGGAACGTGGGTGCCAAGTTCTCCTCTGCTCCAGCCAGTTCAGGGAATGTGTCTGACGTGGGGCTCCAAGGCAAGAAAAGCCATTTGTGGAAGGTACTGGAAAAAAAGAGTTCTTCCCACAGAAAACATCCAGGCAATTCTTAATGACCTGGAGATGCAGGGAGAAGGAGAAACGGTTGTTATTACAGAATAAACTCCTTCGTACCAAGGGATCAAATCATAAGAGGAAAGTCTGGACTGAAAAAACTACCATTTGGGGACAACCCAAGCTGGGAATTGAAGTGGTGCAAGTCAAGGAAGTGGCTCTGGTCCCAGAGCAAGTCCCTGCAGATGCTTCCTAGCTTTGGGCAGCAGCAGCTGTGATCCAGCTAATCCTTGGTTAGCCCCGGGGGATTAAGGGTGACAGAAGGGCTGGTCCCCACTGTGGGGAAAGGAGGCAGGCAAAGCAGGGAAGGAAGGAAGGAAGCAGAGATGGGAACAAATGAATCAGTTTTCACACACAGCAAAGTGACCACCATCATCTGGGCAGGCTTCCCACAGCAGGTCATGAGAGCAGCCACCCGGAAGGGTGGATCAAGGCAGGAAAGTTGGTTATGACCATCACATCTTATCTCCTCTATACTGAGAGATAAAAAACAGGCCCCCTCCCCTGCTCCTGAGAGACCTAATCTTCTGGAGAGGATTAAAGCCTATCAGTCTACCCCTTGGGGAGAACCACCCAGCATTTGCTAGGTGGTAGCTGAGATCTAGCAGCAACCAACCATGTAAGGACCCAGACAGCAATGAGGAGGCAGCACAGAGGAAGGATTTGCTGCTTTTAGCTTCCCTAGTAACACATGGTGGCATTTCAGGCAGAGCAGCTCCCATCTTCATGCCCGGTTAAGCCCAGTGGTACAATGGGAGTGAAGCCCAGCTAGGTTCTGGCTTCTCTCAGTTCCTATTTGCCTGCAATTACAGGCAAATGTCTTTATCTTTACAGCTTAGGTCCTGGGCACCTCCAAGGTGGCACCCAGGATCAGGAAACACTCTTGGAAAACACTGGCTGCAGCCAGGCTGACCTGGGCAGGGAGCAGGCATCTCTCCCATGTCATTTGGCAGCACCTCACACTCCCTGGCCACTGCCTCAACCCTTGGGCTTGTCCTTGCTGTCACCCTGTGGTGGCCATGAACTCCTGCAGCCTTGTCAGCTTGGGCTCTACCAGCCTGACCCAACACAACAGATTAGCTCCTGCTAAAGAAAGAGATGTGATGCTTCTCTGCAGCACCTTCTTGGAGAAGTCCTCTAGTTCTTCTGCACTGGGATGACCCAGGGCAGCTACAGCTCTCTCCCCCAGCCACAGCAGTGCCCTGGAAGAGGAGTGCCCTCTGCTGAGACACCAGCAGGCCTGCAGCAGGGAAAGAACCTCCAGTGCCCTTCATCCAACCAAGCACACAGCCTTGGAGATCTGGAACACAACCCTGGCACAGATCACAACCCAAACCAGGCAGGTTGAACACAGTCCATTTAATGCAGCCAAAGACAGAGGGACCACGACAGCAAAACAAGGTAGACTGAGGCAGGAACAGAACAAGAGGCAGGAGAACATGCTGACAGATCTAAGGCTGCAGAACTGTAGGTGCCACATCTCTCCAACATACAGAGCCACCACTTTCTCCATGCTGGGTAAAGTTCTGAGGTCTCATCTCTGATGGCCAGAAGGAAGAGGCTGGAGAAAAACATGTGGAGCTGGAGGAGCTGCCCTCAGCATGGTCAGTGCTCTCCAACAGGAGCACAGTGCCCACCTGCAAGGGAAGGAGCAGCCATCCCAGCCACTCCAGGCTGGAGGGAGGAACCTCAGGGCACAGAGTGTTTCAGGGCCAAGTCCCAAACCAAGGAATGTCACAGCCACCTCAGTGCAACTCACCAGCCTCTCCTGCCCCCCCCAATGAACACAGTCCATTTAATGCAGCCAAAGACAGAGGGACCACGACAGCAAAACAAGGTAGACTGAGGCAGGAACAGAACAAGAGGCAGGAGAACATGCTGACAGATCTAAGGCTGCAGAACTGTAGGTGCCACATCTCTCCAACATACAGAGCCACCACTTTCTCCATGCTGGGTAAAGTTCTGAGGTCTCATCTCTGATGGCCAGAAGGAAGAGGCTGGAGAAAAACATGTGGAGGTGGAGGAGCTGCCCTCAGCATGGTCAGTGCTCTCCAACAGGAGCACAGTGCCCACCTGCAAGGGAAGGAGCAGCCATCCCAGCCACTCCAGGCTGGAGGGAGGAACCTCAGGGCACAGAGTGTTTCAGGGCCAAGTCCCAAACCAAGGAATGGTTGCCACCTCAGTGCAACTCACCAGCCTCTCCTGCCCCCCCAAAAAAGAGCTAGGGAGCCCCACCAGCAAAGATGAGCTCCAGGGCAGCCTGAATGTCCCCTCCAGTGGCCTGCAGGGCTCGGAGACTCAGCTCATCATCATGAATGCCCATGTCCCGCAGCTGCTGCAGCTGGGGTTGCCACTGGCTCTGCAGAGAGGAAACAGGAGAAGCCAAGAGTAGGTGTGAGAGTCCAAGCAGAAACAGAACAGCCTCACCCACAGCCCCTCTCCCACCTCTCCAGCCCACCACTGCACTGCCAAGTGCACAGATCTTGAAAGCTCCAAGCCTTGCTGCAGACTCCCCAGACCCACCAGGCCACCCCCTGTACTCTTCCATCAGCTTATCATGCCAGCACTTCCCTAGTGATGTCCCTTTCAGGTTAACATCCTGCCACAGGAGGCAGCTGGAGGCACCACCTCCACCCCACAACACCCCATGGGATGACATGGGGCAGGCACAAGCTCCAGGAGGAAGAGGCTGTGGCACTGACCTGCAGGCTGGGCTGCCCCGAGGCTTGCAGGGCGTGCTGCAGGGCCTGGCTGAACAGGTCATTGGTGATGGGTGTTCCTGACTGGACACTGGAGGACATTGGGGAGGTCCCAGAGGAGTGACCCTAGGAGGAAACAAGTGGACTATGGATCAGGAGAAGCAGAGGAACAGGAACCAGCAACCCCACACAGAAGAGACTTGAATAAATCAGCAGGAGCTCCCAGTCCCGAGCAGGGCTCCTGCTCAGTCAAGAGCTGCTTTGACAGCCCAGGAGCATCTCCCCCACCTTACCTGGGTGCCAGGGGTGGGCGTGTGGGAGCTGCTCTCTGGGGTGCTGGCCAGGGCCAGTGCTGTGGCCAGTTCACTCTGGGTGATGGGCCTGGGTCCAGCAGCCCCTGCGTAGCCAAGGGAAGCCGGGCGGGACCCAGAGGTGCTGCTGGATGGTGTAGATCTGGTGCTCTGCATGGAGGGAGGAGAAACAACCACCTCACAGCTTGGTGCCCTGTGTCCCAGGAAAACTTGGCTCGTGTGCTCACCCCCAGAGCCCTGAAATACCCAAGCCCCAATACCTGAAACTCAGGTGCAGGACTAAAAATGCACAGGAGGGGATTTTTTTATTCCAGACTCAGCTGGGGAGGGACTTGGGACAAGGGCAGCGAGGGAGAGGACAAGGGGGAAGGGATAAAAACTGGCAGAGGGAGATTGAGGTGAGACATGAGGAGGGAATTCTTTGCTGTGAGGGTGGTGAGAGCCTGGCCCAGGTTGCCAAGGGAAGCTGTGGCTGCCCCATCCCTGGCAGTGTTGAAGGGCAGGTTGGATGGGGCTTGGAGCAACCTGGGCTGGTGGGAGGTGTCCCTGCCCATGCAGGGGGGTGGATCTAGATGATCTTGAAGGTCCCTTCCAACCCCAAACCATTCTGATTCTATGATCCAACGAAACTGGCAGTAAACCTGTTAATCTATCATCCACCAGCTTCCAAACAAAGCGTTATTAACCTGTAGCAAAACAAGCAGCTACTGACAGGCCCTTTTGGCACAAACTTGCCATTATCTCCTACAAAACACTTGGTCTTTGGAGAAGAAAGCCTCCCTACAAGGGCAAAGATCAACACCTTCTGTATTCTTCTGTGATCTCACCCCAGCACAACCAGCAGCCCACCAGGGATGTTTTTCTCCACAATACCCCCAGGAGCCAGAGCAGCTTGATTAGAGAAGGAAAACCTTTGGAGGCTTTAAGGGCCAGAAGTGAAACCCATATGGCAAGTCCCAAAGAGCTGTCCCACCTGGGCTGGCTGCTCACCTGGTGGAAGTCATCTTCATCATCAGATAGACCTTCAAAGAGAAAGCCACCTGCAAGAGAGAGAGAAGAAAATCAGCAGGTGCAGAGACCTGGGTGCTGGCAGGAACCATGCACCAGATGTGATAGAGCCCTGTGGAACCCTTGGCCAAGCAGCCAGGTTCACCCTCAGGGCAGAGGCCACAGCACCAACCAGGGCTGCATCCAGGGGGGCCTGGAACATCTCCAGAGAAGGAGACTCCTCACCCCCCTGGGCAGCCTGTCCCAGGGCTCTGTCACCCTCACAGTCAAGAAGTTTCTCCTCACGTTCCAATGGCACTTCCCATGTTCCAGCCTGTGCCCGTTGCCCCTCGTCCTGTCCCTGGGCACTGCTGAGCAGAGTCTGGCTCCAACCTCCTGCACCCACCCTGAGATACTGCCAGGCACTGATAAGGTCTCCCATCAGCCTTCTCCTCTCCAGCTCTCTCAGCCCTTCCTCATCAGGAAGATGCTCCAACCCCTCAATCATCTTTTTCCCCCTCCCCTGGACTCTCTCCAGCAGTTCCCTGTCTCTCCTGAACTGGGGAGCCCAGAACTGGTCCCAGTTCTCCAGCTGTGGCCTCACCAGAGCAGAAAGGCAGGATGACCTCTCTGGACCTACTGGCCACACTCTTCCTTATGCACTCCAGGATTCCATTGGCCCCCTTGGCCACATTCCTGGCTCATGGATCATTCCCTGCCTACCAGGACTCCCAGAACGTTCTCCTCAGAGCTGCTTTCCAGCAGCTCCACCCCGACCTGCCATTCTTCCTCCCCAGGTGCCAGGGCTTCCCTCAAGCCTGGAGATGACTGTGTCAGCAGAGCACAGAGGTGCCTGCAGACCCTGCAGCCCAGCAGGTTCCCCACTGATCCATGTGGCTGATGATACCTGGCATGTCCCTGTAGGATCCAGAGGCCATGGCTCGGGAGGAGGTCTCAGGGGCTGGGAGGGGGGTGCTGCCAGCCACTGAGTGCAGGACAAGGACAATGGCATTCACCAGAGCAGGATGAGCTGGAATCAGCCTGGAGAGCAAGAGGGGGGAAAACAAATCACCCAGGGAAACTAAGAAATCAACAGCTTAATGCTGGCAAGGAACCTAAGGGCAGAGCCATCCTGGCAGGTGGCACCAAGCCCTTCCTCAGCCCCTGCCTTCCCACCTCACTCCAAGCCAAGTTTCCTCTGTGATTCCCACATTCCCCCTCCTGGGAGCAACTCTCCCCTGTGAGGATTTAGAACAGGACTGATGGTCTGGAGGTGACCACAGACCCATCTCCCACTGGCCTTTGGTTTCAGCCCTCAGTGGAGGCAGAGGTGCACCAAGGGATCAGTTCCTTCTTTCCTGCTGCTGAGGAATCATGGAACAGCTTGGAAGGGACTTTCAAGACCCTCCAGATCCAACCCCCTGCATGGGCAGGGACACCTCCCACCAGCCCAGGCTGCTCCAAGCCCCATCCAACCTGCCCTTCAACACTGCCAGGGATGGGGCAGCCACAGCTTCCCTTGGCAACCTGGGCCAGGCTCTCACCACCCTGAGAGGAAAGGAGTCCTGTCCTGACCCTCTGGCTGGTGTGTCTGCCCTGGCAGGAGCAGAACCCTCCCCCCTAAGCACAGAGAAGTGCCCTGTGTGACAAAAGCATCCCAGGAACTTACGTGTCCAGCATGTTGGGGTCTGCAAACACTGAAAAGAGATCCTTGTCCTGCAGGACACCTGGGAGGGACCAAGAAATGCACCAAGAGACAGGATGTGTGAAACAGAAGCCAAACAAACAAGAACCAGAAGGAAAAACCAAAAGAATTAATTGTTCTTCAGGAACTGAGTCACTACCAGACATCAGAAATACTTTATTACTGTTCTCTCCAAATGGTTTTGCATCTTCCTGGAGGGACTCTCCATCCCAGCCACACACACTCAAGGGCTGGGGCTTTCCCAGGAGATCCCACAGGCAGCTTCACCTCCAGGGCAGGATCAAAACTGGCATCCAGCTCATCCCCACCACATGCATCCCATATTCCACCTGTCTCAGAGCCATGTGCCAAAAAGACTAGTGAAATTCTGGGCCAGAACAAGCATGCTAGATGCAAAGAACATTTTTGGAACACATTCCAGCAGGGAAAAAGCCTCTCTCCTCACTGCTTTCCTTTGGGCTCCATCTCCCTAATCCTTTGGAGCCAGCATCCAAGCCCAACAGAGCACAGCTCTGACACCTGTGTTCCTGTGAAAATGGCTTTTTTTTCCACATAGGAGAACTCTCCCTTCCCCATATCAGGAATTAAATACTGCTCATCCTAATTTGGCTCTTCTCAGATCCTCTGGATCACATCCAGACTCACCCAAAGCAACAGGGTCACTGCTGAGGCCGGGAGTAGCTACGATGATCTGATCCAGAGACTCCTTGTTCCCCAGCATTTTGAAAACCTAGCAGGGAAATCAGAGCTGAGGACACTGTTCAGAGCAGGGACAGACAAAAGGACAAGCCCCCGGGAGGACAAGAAGCCCCACTCACTGCATCTCTGTAGGCAGGGCTGCTGTGCAGGGCGGTGTGGAGCACCCGGAACTCCCGCACTGCTGCCACCTTATCCACAGGCTCTGGGGGAGGGAACACAAGAGAAAACACAGCTCTCCCTCTGGCTGCTTCCCTAGCACATGCCACAGGGGATTTCCCACACTGCAGTTGCAGGGAGGGGTTCTTGAATTCACCTGGATTTCACCACTCAAAAGGGGAGGATATGGACTCAGTACCAGGATGGCAGGGTAAGGAGTAACAGCACCAGTCTCCACGTGGGCAAGAAACATGGGACCATGGGATGGTTTGGGTGGAAGGGGCCTTCAAGATCATCCAGTTCCAACCCCCTGCATGGGCAGGGACACCTCCCACCAGCCCAGGTTGCTCCAACCTGCCCTTCAACGCTGCCAGGGATGGGGCAGCCACAGCTTCCCTGGGCAACCTGGGCCAGGCTCTCACCACCCTCACACTCCACAATTCCCTCCTCATGTCTCACCTCAATCTCCCTCTTCCAGTTTTCATCCCTTCCCCCTTGTCCTCTCCCTCCCTGCCCTTGTCCCAAGTCCCTCCCCAGCTTTCCTGGAGCCCCTTCAGGCACTGGAAGGTGCTCTAAGGTCTCCCTGGAGCCTTCTCTTCTCCAGGCTGAACACCCCAACTCTCCCAGCCTGGCTCCAGAGCAGAGCTGCTCCAGCCCTCCCATCATCTCCATGGCTCCTCTGGACTCTCTCCAGGAGCTCCATGTCCTTCCTGTGTTGAAGTATGTTTCTATGTGTACAAGAGGAGCTGTATTACTCCTCTAACCCATCTTACTCCAGTGAGACAGACTGGGAACCCACAACCTGCTCAGCAACCAGATATTTTGTTCCCAAGTCTCTGGCAACACCCTAAAACTGCTCACAGCCAATTAAGGGCGGGATAATCACCCTCCTCATGACCTAGCTCATTCCATCAGGAAGGAAACACAACACCCATTTGCTGCTGTTGGAGGTGGAGAGCTCCCAAATCAATACAAGGCTCAATTCCTCCTCCAAACCTCCCATCAGGCTCCCAGGAACAAATCCCAAGGGCACAAGAGATGGAAGCCCAGCCTGTCTTCTCCTCACCTGGTTTCTGGTCAGGCTCAGGCCAGGACTTGCGCAGGACGTGGACAGTGGAGCCAGACTGGATGCCATAAAACTCCAGGGTCTGCTCATCCCTCAGCTTACGGCCACAGTAGATGAGATCTAGGAGAAAGATCTCGAGATGGAACATCTACAGCAGCCTGGGAGAGGCTCTGGGATCTTTGCAGGCTGAGGATTGACTGCCTGGGAGTTGCTTGGCACGTGCTCTGCAGCACAGGGGCTGAACTCTTGGCATCTCCTTTGGAAGGACCAGCCTCTCAGTTCTCCTAAGAGATCCCAAAGGGACACGTTGGTGTTAGAAAAAGGCCATCAAGCCCAAGCAAACATGGCACAAAGGCCACAGAGTCACCGAGGCTCTGGAGCCACCTCTGAGCTCCCTGCTTCTGTCAACACTTCCCAAGCAGCCAGAAGAGGAAAAAGGGTGGCCCCAGGTGGCAGGACTTTGACAGGACACACACAGCCACCTACCGATGAGCTCCGGGTCGGGGACGGACTCCTGGAGCTTGCCCGTGATGAGCTGCTTGAGGCAGGAGATGCTGCAGCCCCCCAGCGGGCACTCCCCCAGCTCGGTCTCCGGCAGCTGCAGGATGGATTTGGGAGCCAAAGGCTGATCCGCCAGCTTCACCGCGACGTGCCACTCCGGCAGGGACATCCCGGCCTCCTCCCC